GTGTGCATAAATAACAGGTCTCATCAGTTCAATCTATATACAGGAAGATTCAAATTCAGCAGTCTGATTGGAGAAAATCCATAGAACTTTTTTTGAGTACGCCACTGACAATATTTTAATACCTACTTGAATAACAAAATCAATTACCTATCTTTTTTCTCATCATATTTCTTTCTGAATTTCGCTTGGTTCACGAGATATCTGAAAAAATTCTTTTGGAGTCCCTCCATATCATCCATAGTCCAATATATCAGAGTAATCGTGTTCTGCAGGTTTCTTCCTCCTTCATGTTGATATTTTGGTCACGTATTCATGTTGATTATTTAATAACCTTCTCATCATACAGGATGGCCCATTTTCAACTTGACAGGGAGATTTTGGGTGATAATATCGTATAGATACGTAAAAATGCTCAGATCGGTCGATTTTAGTTTGCACCTCCTGCTAACAATCAAAGTCGTTTGCTTCGTTCTGTTGAGAGTTCGGGGGCACAGATATCATATTCATTTTAGCAAGCTCTTCATCAGATGAGTTCATCAAATCAATAATTGAAAAATAAACTGGATCACAGAGACAAAGAATGATTATAATAATAATAATGAATAATAAGAGGAATAATAATAATTCTCTATTCATCATCAAAATAATGATAATAATGAAACTAGACAATTGATATTTTTCGTTTTCGTACATTTTTTGTACGAGCCGCTTTTGTGTTTCTTACTAAGCAATGATTGAGCAGAAAAAGTAGTTGATATGATATGATATATGTGCCCCCGAACTCTCAACAGAACGAAAAAAACCTGCAAACGACTTTGATTGTTAGCAGGAGGTGCAAACTAAAATCGACCGATCTGAGCATTTTTTCGTATCTACGCTATTATCAAACAAAATGTCCCTGTCAAGTTGAAAATGGGCCATCCTGTATGATGAAGAGGTTATTGAATAATTAACATGAATACGTGACCAAAATATCAACATGAAGGAGGCAGAAACCTGCAGAACACGATATCTCTGATATCTTGGACTATGGATGATATGGAGGGACTCCGACAGAATTTTTTCAGATATCTCGTAAACCAAGCAAAATTTAGAAGGAATTGTTGTGAGAAAAAAGATAGATAATTGATTTTGTTATTCAAGTAGATATTAAAATATGGTCAGTGGCGTAGTCAAAAAAAGTTCTATGGATTTTCTCCAATCAGAATGCTAAATTAGTATCTCCCTGCATATCGATTGCACTGATGAGACCTGTTATCTATGCACACTTCTTATAGTTGACTGCCTTCCAAGTTTCAGATCATAACCTCTCAAGGATCTTGAAATATTCAATAAAATCTGAAAAACAAAAAATCCATTCATCGCCGTCTCACGGCCCAACGGTGCATTTTCGTATAGAGGTAAGTTGGTCCCAATCGACCTATTTCGAACTTTAGTTCACCCTGTTGAATCAAATGTACGTTGTTCTGGGACACCCTGTACATATACCGGGTGTCCCATTTTAATCTTTATTTGGAAATTTCTCGAAATGTATGCATCTGACAAAAAAAATTGCCGAATAAAAGTTGTATGGTTTGGAGGGGGACGTCTGGTTATAAAACAAGTTTCACCCCCTGACCCTCAGGGGAGTGGGAAATGGAGGTAACATTGAAATCTTTAATGGAAACCCCTATTTTTTATTGCAGATTCTGGAAGAGAATTAAAAACTATGAAGCTTTTATTCGGGAACTTCTTTTTTATTTCAACAAGATGGCGCTGCGATCTTAAAAAACAATATTTTACTATTTATTTTGTAGTTGGGTGACTTTTTATCATTCAAAAGATATCAAGCAGTTCGAATCAACACATTTCAACACCCTGAAGACGAGGAAGAGTGTAGGGTGTGAAATTCCCAGACAAACGCCGTTGGGGTGATATTTTTATTGCAAATTCACACGGTAAGTGATAATTTTCATTGTATGGCAACACCATGTAAAAACAATTTAAATCTGTCACTGTCTCGCGATGTTTTTTTTTATCGCTTGGAGCGCACGAAAGGGATTCCCTATAATGTTCAAAGAACATCGTGCGTTCCTAGGTAGGATAGGGACAGGAGGTAGGTATTGGAATTTTTTTTGAACTTTTGAAGATTATATGTTGTTGGGAATACTTCCACAGGCAATGAATTCCAGAGCCTAGCCGTTCTATGGTTGAAGGAGTCTTGATAAAGTGCTGTTCGACATCTTTCGAGGTTGACAACGAAAGGATGTGCTGACTGGGCTTGTCTAGTTCGTCTGATTGGTATTGCTAGTGAAGGGATGATAGCAGAGATTATTATTATTATTATTTACCGAACGAGATTGTAAATATGATTATGTGTGTCGAACCATGCTTATTTTTCTCTTTTCTATGTAGAGGTGTCAAGGTAAGTAAGTTCGTTTAGCGTTAATTTGTCGTGTGAATATCACCCCAATGGCGTTTGTCTGGGAATATATCACATTGATATCACACCCTACACTCTTCCTCGTCTTCAGGGGGTTGACATGTGTGAATAGTAAAATATTGCTTTTTTACGATCGCAGCGCCATCTTGTGAAAATAAAAAAAGCTCCCGAATAAAACCTTCATAGTTTTTAATGCTCTTCCAGAATCTGCAATAAAAAATAGGGGTTTCCATTAAAGATTTCAATGTTACCTCCAATTCCCACACCCCTGGGGGTCAGGGGGTGAAATTTGTTTTATAACCAGACGTCCCCCTCCAAACCATACAACTTTTATTAGGCAATTTTTTTGTCAGATGCATACATTTCGAGAAATTTCCAAATAAAGATTAAAATGGGACACCCGGTATAAGCTGACTGCCAAAAAATGCCCCATGCTATAAAGCCGCTATTAATTATCCTGTGTTTAAAAATGAAACGAATACTATGAGTAGGCTCTGATCATATTTATGTAACTTCCGAACTATCAACTTTTTCGTTTCAAATCGCACAATATGTTTCTTGTGATTCTTGATCGAGAATTTCTCTGACTGCAGTGATGCATGACAAGTTGGTTTTCGGACGAAATTAGCTGGAATTGAAAAAAAAATGCTCATATGACAAAGGAATCGATATTTCCATAAAATTACGAGATGTATAATGAAATGTGGTAGTAAAAGTCTTGAAATAACACCGCATGTGATTCCAAAGTGTGCTGTTGAAGAAAATTAATATGTAAACTGGTCGTTATATAGAGATGTTCTGCAGGTTATCAAAGTGACTACGAAGGGGTGCGAAGCCTCGACGGCTTAATCTCGCGGGGACTGCCAAGGGAGGAACAATTGTTGATATTTCAGAAGAGCATCGTCCATGAAAAAATCTATGAAATAGAGCCAGATCGCCAACTTGTTTACGGTGTTCCAGAGAAGTGAGTGAGTTTGTGAGCGAGGCATCACTCACGAGACGAATTGTCCCTTTTTGGACAGAATCCAACAGTTTTAGGGTATGTTTGGGTGCTGCACTCTAAAGATAGGAACAGTATTCCAGGACAGGTCGGATCTGTGCCTTATAGATCATAATCGGATGAAATAATTAAAAAAATTACTGTTATCTGCTACAGCCGTAGAAAAAGTATATTGTATAACTTGCACAGAGCATGCTACAAACTTCATTCTCATGGGAAATGACTATAATTCCGGGCTCATTAGATAATATACTATGCAATATCAGTTTGATACGTGTCTTGTCGATCATGGCAAGCTATAGAGGTGTCGACTCACATTTCAAAAGTACTCCAAACATTGAATATTCTCTACCGCAACCACACATTCCGTGGGGTCATATTTCCACTAGCGATATCTGATATTCTTCAGGAATTCCTTTGTTCGTGAAAAATACCTCTGAACACGAGAGAACTCGCAAGAGAATAGGAAAAACTCCAGCCCAGAAAACATCTTCGACCGCGAAGCTGAGTATCATCAAGACCTTTATGTCCTCCGTTCAAATTTAATCATTTCCTGGGGGTGCTCTAGCCATCGAAAAGGCATGTCATGCATTTCAATGGAGACGAATCTGAATAAAAATGTAATTTCAGAAACAACAAAGGCAATATCAGCGTTGAAGCTGCTCAACAGCACAGGTAATACTCTCCTGATTCGTTCTTTGGGCATCCATTAATGAAGTGCTGTGGTGCATGTCATAATGACATCGTATCACACAGTCTTCTGCTCGCTCAAGTACCCCGATGAATAATAAAAGGGGACATTAATTAGGATGGAAGCCCTTAAATTTCTATTTTGTGTCAACTCAAACCCGCCGAGTTTTCTATTGAATTAATACATGCTCCTGGAAAAAATGAGGGAGTTTTTGAAGAGTTGATGAAGGCTCTATTAACCCTCGTCGTTGTCAATTTAGAAATCTACAGGGTGGCATCCGAGTCTAAACCTAGTGATGTCGATGGAATAAACATATAAACAGAAATTATATTGACGACAACTCAACTCAACCGCGGAGTTTTCACCACATATGGGGTTCAGCACCCAAACATACGCTGATGCTCTTAGATACCATCCAGAGAAAAACCACTCGCCTGGTGGGCGTGTGGTTTTTCACTCACTAATACTCTAACATCATTGTCAATAGTCGGCGACCTTTCACTTTTCTTCTACGGGAAATGTTCTTCTGAAATCTCTGCTGTCATTCCATCACTAGCAATACCAGTCAGACGAACTCGACAAGCCTAGTCAGCACATCTTTTTCTTGCCAACCTCGGAAGATGTCGATCGGTAATTTATCAAAACTCGTATGTCTATAGAAGAACGAAGCTCCGGCATCCATTGTCAAAGGAAGTATTCCCAAGAACTCATTGTTTCCAAAAGTAACAAGAAAACTTTGCCCACCTCCTCTCTTTATCCTTCCTGGACACGCACGATGTTCCTCGACAATAATAGGGATTTTCTTTAGTGCGCTCCGAACAGAGTTGAAGGCTTTGTTAACCCATATAAAAAGACGATATCGAATAGTGAAAAGAAGAACAGAAGTTTCAATAGTGGTCCTTCGAGCCGGATGGTAGTTCTTGTGTTCGGTCAGAAACATGTTCTACAACTTGCTCAGCAGTATTGAATGGCTTGTATAAGAGAGGATGGTGTATTCTGGTACATTTATCTGAACCACAGTATCTTTTCTTGCGACAATTTGATTTAAAATGATTCTGTTTGAGGCAACAAATACACAGTTTATTTTTCACAACTATCTCCCATCTCTCATCCACGTTCATATCCTTGATAGTTTTACAATATTCTGAGGAGTGCATGGTTCCTTCACATAGTATACATTTTCTTTCACCAATATTCTGTTCTTTTCTAATTGATAGAACTGTTTCTCTCCTATGAGGAAAATTGTCTCTTTCCTCGATTCTGAGAACTGGATAGTTCACGTAGCAAGTAATTTCAGACTTTTCTTTCAACCATTCCGAGAACATTTTCAAATTTACATTACCCCTATTTTTCAGCGCGTATTTCCCCCAATTGAGCTTTAGGAAATATGACAGTTTACGAGTTATTTCATCCAACAACTGAGGATTATACATATGTCCTGAGGACTCCAAAACTTCCATTGTAGTTATCAAATTGATTACTGCATTAGAACACAATATATTTGAATCAGGTTTTCTTTCTCTTGGCGACGGAGTCTTCTTTGATTTTTCGAACAACATAGATATAATGATTTCTGGTCTTCCAAACATCATTTCTAGGGTCTCCAATATAGTTTTCACATTTGATGATGATATTAACAACGGTTTGACTGTTTTCCTTGCTCTTCCACGAAGACATTTCTGTATTCTTATCATGATCTTTTCATCTGTAAATTTGCAGGCTTTAGTGGTTTTTCTGAACCGTGAAATAAAGAGAGGCCAATCTTCTGGTTCTCCAGAAAACAACGGCAAATCTTTTATTGACTGTCCGTTGAGTAATATCTCTACAGGATCTTTCTCCGTCGTCATTTGATATTCGTCGTTAGGAATCGCTTGCTCTTCAATTTAATTTTCAAACCAATTCTTGACTCTCTCCAGCATGTTTTCAGATTCTCGTGGTGAATTATAATGTTCAATTTCACTTTCATATTTACTTTCAATATCGCTGAGTTTAATTTTCATCTCCAATTCTATAACTTCTTTCTCTCTGAGATATCTCTTCTCCGTCAAAAGCTGTTCTCCTTGATCTCTTCTTTCTTCAATCACTGCTAATCGTCTGGCAGCATTAAGATGAATTTTGATTGCTATTTTACTGGAAGTATTCGATTTTCCGTTCACAGTTGTTGACGATTTCAGTGATATCCTCGCTGTATCTGAGAAAACCTATAAGCATTTTTGTGTCTCGAAAATCCTAGGAAATCCTCAACTGGACTATCAGCCTGTCTGGCTTCAAATTCATTTGAATTTTCCTTAGTTATCCCACCTGCTATTCGACTAGTACTGTATCCCAATCTTTTCATTTTATGGTACTGTTTTACCAAGTTGAAATTCTTCTTATTGCTCGAAGGACCACTGTTGAAACTTCTGTTCTTCTTTTCACTATTCAATATCGTCTTTTTGACAGATTTCTTACTGACATCCAATCAATTATTTTCTGTATATCTTTTGTCTTTCAACATAACATATACAAGGTATTCATAAAATGATAAAACAACATTAACATAACCCTTGTCGTTCTCAACTTCAAAAATGTACAGGGCGGCATCCGAGTCTGAACCTGATGATGTCGATACCATTCAGATGCAGAAATGAAAAAGCTGAAGAAATAATTGGCAGCAACAACAGATGCAGAATGGTACAAAAAGATTGTTTATATTTCTCAGTTGAAGGTTCTGTTAATCCATGAATTTCTCAATTACAAATCTACCGGATAGCATCCGAGTGTAAACCAAGTGATGTTGATGACATTCAGATAGAAACAGGAATGAATTAGATGAAGATATAATTGGCAGCAACTTGGCCCCGCGGAGTTTTTTATTGAATGAATGCATGCTCCTCAGGAAAATGAGGACATTTCTGAAGAGTTGAATGTTAACCATCGTCGTTCTCAATTCAGAAATGTACAGGAAGGCAACCGATTTCAAACCTAGTGATGTCAATGGCATTCAGAATGAGATAAAATAAAAATATGAATACTATTTCAAAATACGTGTAGTTAGGATAAATCAGATGATTTCCCCCAAAATGTCACTGCGTTTGAAAAATTTTCCTATCAGAGAGCCTACAAGAAAAATTCACCAGCTTGTCAGTGAGAATTTGTATTGGAAAAAGTTTGGAGAAGAGAAATACTTTTTCTGACTTGTAATATAGCAAATCTGTTTATCTGAATTCTGATTACCGTGAGGACTTTGCCAGATTGATGAAAAGTAGTTTCGTCTCCATGTAAAACACACGTTTTCAAATGACGGATGATATAGAATATAGTTTAACGACAACTCATATTACACGTTGACGGATAACAGTTGAAAAATGTTGTTGAAAATCGTTTCATTCACGTTCTTCCACTCTCTGTCAGAAAATGTTGACAGATTCGCGTTACAGAAATGCTTATTTCGAACGTTTAACAAACGTTTCGGAGAAACGTTCCATAAATGCATAATTTCAACAGATCGTCAGCTAGGACATATAGTTTTCAGTACGTTTATAAAACGTTCAGATTCGACTTTGAATACTTTAAACATATTTCAACGTTGATTTTCTCAACCATAAACGTCTATCTAACTTGTTCTACGTTGATAATACGTTGAAAAAACGCACGTGTGTCCATTGGGTGGTGAATCACTCAATGAGAAGAAGAACTGTGGAAGACAATGTTTTCGGCACGACTAAATCACTCAGCTTTTTTCTGACTTGTAGTATAGCAAACAGAAATCCGTTGAAATGTATTTTCTTTCATTCAGACGATCTGTAATTCGGAGCCCATAGCTGGGATGTATCTCCGGTTTTCCAATGTCGAAAGCATCTGGCATACCGAACGTTTCTGTTTTTGTCAGTCATCCGTCTCTTGCATACAAATTACACTTTTTTCCTCGGGGATGCGGGTTTTTTCTCCCCCTTTTAATTTCGCGTGGATGGTATCGCTTGATGAATGGGACCGGGAAAAAATTAAAGGTAGGTCTACAGGGTATCTTTTTATTACCTCGCTTTCATTAGCTTGGTTTGTATCTGAATGTATGTTTGTATGAACAGAATCTTTCAACATGATTTCGACCCAGGATTCATCAATTCATTCATTCATTTAAGGATGTTATCAAATTTGTGATGTTTTGTTGAGTAGATGCAACTTATCACACACAGTCACAACAATGCTAAACACATTGCAATTGTTGAATATCAAACAAAGAGTTCGGGCTATGTACAAGATGTGGATGGTCACAATACCAGAAATTCTGGTATCGTTCAATAATTTTCCCTGTGAAATGAAAAGATGTGTGTACTAAATAGTTTCAAAGGATCGTGTGTGATATTTACTGTGAAAGAAAATTATTGATTAATCAATTGAAGAAGGAGAAATCTGTGGATTACCCTTATCTTAAAATGTGTGTCCTAATTCATGTGTCTGTGTTCTATATTTTCATGTCTATATTAATTAAGTCATTAGTACTATTCTTTTTATCAACTTTGACTGAGATTAACCAAGATTCTCAGTGCAGCTCAATAGCTCAGTTGTATTACATGTTTCATTTATCTTAGTCTGATGTGAGTTGTCTTAAGGACTTATTGAGACTATATTTCATTCCCCTCACCCCAACTGAGCTTGCTATTCATCTGGTGTTGTAGTGAGAAAAAGGTGAGACTGGATTAATTCTAGTAATTCTGTGGATCTGTGCTGAAAATTGTGAGGTTATATTTTCATTTTGACATGCTTTCAGCTTTGAAGTTTCAGTCCACAGGTCAAATCATTTGAATACTTACCACAATAATATTTTTATGCTCATTGATTTCCTCAGCCATTTTACATTTTGGTTCAATTATGTTGGGTTATGTTTTCTTTCCTTGCCTTTCCTGACAGATAAAAACCTGTTCTTTTTATTCAATCGACAACTCAGATCCGTCTCACCTTCTTCTAACTCAATTGATCTCAGTATTGGGAATTTAAGAAGGTAAAATGAATATTGCTATTGTATTTCATTGTAGATTCAACTGTAATGAAGAGCACTGTGCTTTCGAAGTTTGATATACCGGGTGTCCCAGTATACCTGTTCCAATGGATCATCTCAGTCATTTCAAAAGTAACAAATTTGAAAATTTCATGATCTCTAATTCGTTCAAGGAACCTTCAACTGAGAAAAACGAAAATTCATAGTCACTTCCGGTTTGACCGGAAGTGACTCTAACTTCTTTATTTCAAATAGCACCCTGTATATTTCTTGCAATTTTTGCTTTTTACTCAAAATTGCCTTTCCAACGATGTATCACACTTTGTATTTTACATTTGATATGATGAAGAGAACGACATATTGAAATTTGGAATTAAAATCAGTATCATATCCAATTTCTCTTGAATTGTGAAGTTATCATATCATTTTCACGGTTATTCATTCTTGAATGTCGCACACAACCATTCAGAATTATTAACTGTCGAAGAAACAAACAAATGTATTTTCATCATCTCGAATGCAAAATCGTTCATGAATCATCAATTATTGAGGAACACATCATTATGTATGTACACAAGATATCGTAGTCTACTGCAATTCTTTCGATTTCAAATTTCAATTTTCGTTTTCTCTGTCAAATCAATTGTAAAATGCAAAGTGTGATACATCGTTGGAAAGGTAATTATGAGTAGAAAGCAAAAATTGCAAAAAATATACAGGGTACTATTTGGAATGAAGAAGTTAGAGTCACTTCCGGTCAAACCGGACAGCACAAGACACGCCCCCTACTACGGCATTGCAAAATATAATCGAGCCCAGCACAATCCTGCAAAATCTAATCTTTGACAGCACAACGTAGCTGATTCATATAAATAAATCGATTGAAAAAGTAGCACATACCACGTTATATCTCATCTTCAAAGTACTTTACTTAGGCAAAACTCAGAGACTATTTATCCTCAACGAACTAACCTATCCCTGATTGCAATATTTTTGAGGAAGGAAAACCGAATGGAGTGTAGAAACACATTGATTAATAATATATTTCAAAAGTTGAGTTCTTCAACAAAATTGAATAAAATGAGACTGTTTATCCTAAACGCACTAACCTATTTGACTTCAAATATTTTATGAAAAAGGAAAACCAGAATGAAGTAAAAAAACATTGGTGAAAAAAAAAGTTGCAAAAAAAAGTTCGAGTTCACAGCGATTCGAACCATGAACCTTCAGACTGACAGTCGACAGCGCTAACCAGTAGATCATTTGGGTGTATGAATTTACTGCGTACAAGAGATTGACAACGAGAAAGCTTCAGTTCTTGCGTTGGAGCACAGTATGAGATATGACGTATTATGGTGGGCGTGGTTTGTGCTAGCGTGCAGTATATTTAGGAAAATCGCCACCCGGTATAATCAGTGAACCTTCTCAATAACGCGATGTGAGTAACATTGTCAGTTGTCACGAAAGGACACTTTTCATCACCGATAATATTTCTTCTACAGTATCCAAGAATGTGTTGTAACCTTGTAACATTTTCCTTACCTGAGCACCAACAGGAGAAGATAGGAGAGATTCCAGACACATGTCATGATGCTCCGAAAAATTTACGACCACGCATTTTATATGATATAAACTTCGCATGTGACGCAGTATTTTATCAATATACTCGGCACGTTTCCATTTATTGGTGGATGGTTGACAGTTTCGCCGTTTAGAGGACAGGTATAGTGTCACAGTTCACAATTTCATCGTATTTGGATTGACGAGAAAAAACCAAATGATTTCTCATGTTCATGGAGATACGGTTTCATGAATGAATGAACAGTCATCAATCTCACAATACTCCATGAAATGTCGACATCGTTCCTC